TTTTAGAGAATTTTTAAATAGTAAACAAAAAATAGTATACAAAATGTTAAAACATTTTTAAAAATCATGAGCCGAAAAGAAATATTTTCAAATTTATGTACATTTGTTGTATAGCTAAATTGGCCGATTTTAAAGAATTCGAACTATGCGAAGAACTTAAAAGGCAGAACAGAAAGCATTCAATAGATTCAAATTAAACGAATTTCGTGAAACGTGAGGCCCATTATCTTGCCCGAAGCGGCGTACATAAACAAATAAAACAAATTACTTCCAAATCAAGACAGGGACAGCAATTTACCAGATTTTTTATAATACATATATATACAGTATATAGAAAAATCTATAATTCGTTTATTATTTATGATGTGTAGGAACGCAATACGAAATTAGTTTTACATTTTTAAAATCTCACAACGTTTTAGATTGAGCTCGCAAGGACAATGGGAGCGAACGCCCTTTAAAGTCATAAAGTGTTTGAGGGGCTCGCACGCCAAAGGATAATTACTGTGAGAAAGGCTTGCTGCATAAATATTTGAAAAGTTCAAGGCGCAAAGACGACACGACGCGTCGTCGACGGTGCCTGGCACGTGGCAGCACGTGGCTGAGCCTGACTGCCTCGGGCCGCCTGAGAAAAACTGAAAGGGAAGACAACTTGTTGTCGAGCTAAACCCAATATATCGCCCTGTTGAGCGTTTAATAATTTACTCGCTCGGAGCGTGCGAATTGGCACATGACCTGAACTGTAAAATACATAAAAATTTAAATAGCAAAACCAAATTAAATCGCACCCAAACAAACATATTTGAGTGCACAGTCGACTGCTTGGGGCAGATTTCTAGACAACAAGTGTAAGTGCTGCTTGCACAGTTGCTCCCGAGTCATATGAAATGCTAATTGCCCATTAAACAGTTTTGTTATATTATCCAATTTATTTTGACACTTTTCCCCCCAACACAGCCCCATCAAATATCCAAGCCAATCCAATCGACAGCGAGTGCAAAATTCACAGTTGGCTCATGTGACGTATGCGTAATAACACATCGAACTGTCACGTTGATGGCTTTTTACGCAGATGAGAATGGGAATTGATGGCAATACTTATTGCATTGATACCCTGCGGCCTCAATAAAGCGAGCATATTAGATGGAATACATTTTAGAGTGTCGGGAGTGTACGACTAGGAGATACCGACAGTGGCAGTTATACAAATATTAAAGAAAAAGTACATTATATACAAAGCAAATAAGAGAGTCGATAATGTCTGACTACGGGATATCCAGTAATATTGTGGTGTGGAGGGAGATACCAAGAGCTACGCCCCCGTAATAGCAAAAAAGTATACAAGTAAGTGTGGAGAGTAGTCGACTAGCAAGTACCCCGATATTGCAATTTATATTGATTTCAAAAATGAATAAATATTTTATACAAATAATTATACATACATATTAAATCTAGTTTGCAATATGATTGGAGGAAGAAACACATATTTGTAGCAAAAACAGTTCAATCAATATGAAGTCGATAATCAGATGGGTTATCGAAGAAACAAAAGAAATATGCAATTGTATTTTATGAGATATATATGTATATATGAATTTTTAAATGTCCAATCCTTAGCTTTTATTGTTTATCAAATATGAATATTATATTAAATAAAAGCTAAGTACAAATTCTTATTTTCTTGTTTATACCATTTTCATTATTCTATCTACCTTCCACCCATTACACAAGCCTACATAACACTAGAATGCCCTTCGAATTGCATGCTCAATATTACAGGGTATACTTAGCTCACAATTCCCATTTCGTTTAGTGGGCGTGCATAAAAATAGATGACATTTAGGACAGGTCTTCTTAATGGTGGTATGTATGTCTAGCAAATTTAGGACATATGTTAGCAGGTGCTTCAATTATATATTTGCACTCTTTTAATTTGCAATTCAATTAGATGATTAATTTTTGTAGAGCACTAAGGCTTCTTATAATGAAGTGTATAATGGTGTACTTTAAATAAATGCATCAATTAATTAATTAATCATTAGCAATGCAATCAGACGAATAAAAAAAGGTTTACAAACTAAAATACCCAAAAAACTCATTAGTTGATGATAAAGTGAATTTTATTTAAATGTGCGTATAATTCAAACTATAATATTTATTAAAAGTGTTTTAATTTAAACAGTTTGTATTTTTTCCAATAAATGAAGTAATAACTATAAAAATAAATGAAGTAATAAATGAAGTAATAACTATTTACTACATATTTTGTAATATTTATTTTAATATTTGCTTAGATTTTCAACTTTTCATTATATTTAAACAATTCCTTCTCTAAAAAAATCTAAATAAATATATAATTATTTTAAGATCTTTCGTAAGGCACATATTTTGTTTAACTATTGCTATTAAAATCTGAAATTAGCTTAATTTCCGCTATTATCGCTCCTTATCATTCCTATTCAATATTCCGTATATTTTTTCCGTTTTAATCCAACTTTATTAATAAAATTTGAATGCCAAGCTTTACCATTTTATAGACACACTCTCTAGATAGTGCGGGTCTGTAGTCCAAATAGACAGCGATGAGTCGAAAACGTGACTGAAGGCTGATATGCTGTCTAGTACTATAAAGCGATTATTTTTACTGTTAAGCCAATTAGTCCGACTTACTGAGGGTGGGGAAAGACAGAGTGAGAGGGGGAGAGAAGAGAAACAGAGCTTTTTCTTTCGTTCATTTTTTTTTTTCCAAGTCAATGACTTTAACTGTTTGGCCTTTGACTGCGTCTCGCTGTCTCGTCTCCGCATTCAGCAGTTTTTGCACCCATAACATCAACAAATGCAAACTACTTCAATTCAAATTGATAATAAATGAAATTCGCTGATAAATGAATGCGACATTTGTTGGCATAATAAATTTATGCGAAATTTAATTAAATTTGTGGCCACATTGGCGCGTCGCCAAATAGATAGCATCAAAGTGCTTATCGCGAGAGATATGGAGGGGTCAATAGTTAGTAGAGGCGATAGAGCTCGCGGAATGATCAATCATAATGGAGCTATCTGTTCCAGGTTTTATTTACAAACTTGCAGTTAATTACAAATTTGTTCACAAATACTCTGACAATTTGTATGAAAAGACAACTATGAAAAAAAGTGACCAAATATTTAATACCCTAACATATGTATAAATATAATTTGAGATTGATTTTTAAAATCAGTTTATAATTCTAATTGCTTCGACTAAATATGAAATATTATTTAAATTTTGATATTATAATTCTCCGACCAGGTAGGATAATGGAAAAAATATATTAGTTTCCATATCATAACTAGATAGCATACTTAGATTAAATAAATAAATATAAAAAAAAAATGTTTATCAGTTCGTTGTTATCAATTTTGCCATATTTAATTTTCCGGCATTGATTGAGGGTATTAATACACATTTTCAGAAAGTAGTCTATATATGTACGTTTTTCATTACAAACTATGAAATTATATTGTATTTTTGACCATCATTCTGCTCAGAACTTTTAGCATATGTATATAACAAAATATCATAATATATGTCGGCAATTTCGATAAATAAAATAAGATTCAAAAGCTTGCATTCAAAAAGTCAACTAGTGGGTCAAACTTGCTGTAAACTACAATCGAACATGTTTGTGCTCTATACGAATTGCAAATGAAAGACACTTTTTCTAGACATTGTTTGATATCTACATCGTAAATGGGGCAAAGTGTATTTAATATTCGGCATGCCAAAGATTCACACATAACTGTTCATTTTGTTATTGTTTTTTGTCTTTTTTTTTTGATATTGTTGTTGCGAGTGTTATATGTCTCATTTAGTTGATTGTTGTAGATTGTATACAATGTGCCCATAATCGCTTATTTCCTGCCCGTCTCAGTGTGAGGCGGATCTGGAATGCAAAACACGAACTGGGCAGCTGACCGACCGTCTTCATTCTGCCCCTTCCCATACTAGTTGGAATGAAACGATGAAAGTGAGGTGTTCCATTCATGAAATTACATACGCGTATTATTCAATTGAGTGTGCGACAGAGAGAGAAGTGAACAGAGGGACAGAGAGTAGCTAGCGCACGAAAGAGAGAATAAGGCGAGAGAGCGCCAAGGTTAATTTTATTTATCTGCTGCTGCATGCGATGCGCGACGGCATTTGACAGCTAAAAGAAAATAAGGTAAGTGCAGGCGGAAGGAGCGAAGCAGCTGGATGAAAAATGATGGGGGAATGTTTTCCTGCATTTAGTGAAAAAAACAGACAGCTGCACTTAATTGTTGATTCTTAACTTTTATTTTGCGTTTTTTTATAAAAATGATTTAAGTCTGACACGCGTTAAGCGCATGCACACCCATACACACACACACACACACACACACAAAGTTACGTGGCGTGGGCGGTAAATCTACCACGCCTACTGCAAATAAGATACACACCTTCATAACGAGCTCAAAGGGATATTTGTAGACGCGCACAGGCGATTGGAATTTTTGCACCATTTTGTTGCTGTTTTTGTTGTTCTCGCTGTTGTCACTGTTGTTGTTGGCACTTGACACTGGTTAAAAATCAATTTTTATTCTCTTTTCTATTGCACTTTTTATTCACACATACGCGCCAAATTTTCTATAATATTTGTATTTCAGTTGTAGTTATGACAGTTAAATGTTTCAAATTTTGTATTCTCCTTCGTTAAAGTGTTTTGACAAATTCGTTTCGTTTCTTTGCAGCCCCAGCGTTTGTTGTTGTGCGTGCAACTGCTGCAGCTGGCTGAAAAAGAAAGCCTTTCCTTTTTTGTGTACACTCCGCGAATGTTTGACTGCTTTTGTGCTAGCGATGTCGCACTTAATACCGATATATCGATGAACACCTTATTTGATATATCGATCTGTTTGACGATGAATGCTATTAGCTTTCAAATGTAACTGCTAGTTCGAGTATGTTTTCATTTATACGTTATATTTGGAAATCTATTTTTTAAACAAAAATAAAAAAGCTATTGATATGTAATTATGGATACATCATACAGCCGAGCATGCAATAAACGCATCTGTTGTACATACATTTTCACGTTTTTACTGCTCGTCCTCTTTTTCTATCACTTAATGTGGAATAATAGAAAAAGTATTATAGGACTTGCGCGGTTGCAAGAGGACGTCAACTGTATATCCGTAAATATATTAAATGATAGCTGTTGAAATGTTCGCTAATATCTATTTATTATGTACTTTATCGGACAGCAAGCGCTCAAAGTGGATTGCTCGACAATGAAATTAGACAGCTGTCCATCAGAATCGGGAACTTGTGACCCAACTATGGATTTAAAGGGATCAATATCATGCGAATCGACCGAATTGAATGACTGTGTGGAAACAGTGGTAAAACGCAAGATTAGTAGCTTAATGGACGATGTATACAGTATTAAAAAGAGAATTGAGCAATCCGCATGTAAGGAGTCAGTGGAAAATGCAGCCGAGGCGAACAAACAAAAAATGGCTCCACTTCGCATCAATTATGCTTCGGAGGAGCTGGGAGCTCGTATAATTTCTGCCCTAGCAAAACCAATTGCAGATAGCAACTTGCTTATGATGTTGCTTGGGTTGGAATTCAGTACAAATCCGCCCATCAATATGCTGAGGCCAAGCTTAATGCCAGGATCGTGTTTCGGTTTTCGGGGCAGTCAGGCAGCGATTACACTACATTTAGCCAAAACTATCTATGTGGAGCAAATAAGTTTGACCCATATTCCCAAAGAGATGACTCCGAGCGAGTGTGTTGATAATGCACCAAAAGATTTTGAAGTTTATGTATTTTTTTTTTTTAAGTTTTCATTCCATATGGCAAGTATTATAACTTATGTCTTTTTTTTAGGGAGTGACTCCGAAAAAGAATAAAGAGCTATTGGGCAAGTGGAGATTCAAAAATGATCCAAATGAACGCACAGAGAATTATATTATCAATAATAATTGTCCGTTTCGTTCATTGCTTTTCGAATTCCTCTCAAATCATGGCGGCAATTCTACTTGCATATATCGGTAATTTAATTTTTGGAGAGTGTTATAACATTTCACATTTTAACATATATTATCTATTCAGCGTGGAAGTGTTTGGCCGAGCAACAGGCGTAATTTAAAAAAAAAATATCTTTTAAAAAATGTTTGCTTAAATTGTTTTGAAGTTACTTAAATTGTTAATTTTGTTATTATGTTTGTCTTAACAGTTAATTAAAAACTAAATATATCGTGAGTGACATCTTTAGCGATATTTAATTTGTAATTGGTAACGAGTACATGGGTTAATGTGTATTTTTCATGAACTCCCATCTCTTAGGTGTAGGCAAGTTAGACATGAGCGATAACGATTATCGTTTTGGTTTTGGCAAAGATAAAATTGAAATAAATAAATTGAAACACGATGGCTTGTGGCGATTGAATCTAAATAACAATAACAATCTTGTGGCATGTAACTTAACACACAATTACAACAGCCTCGATGGCGATGAGCAGGCGCAACTACAAAGGACTATGGCAAAGGCGAAACAGAAACAGACAACAGCAGCAGCTGCCACAGCAACAACAACAGCAGCAGCAGCAGCAGCAGCAGCGACGACAGCAGTAGCAACAACAACAATAGCAACAACAATGCCAATACCAACAGCAGCAACAACAACAATGATAGGCGCTGTTGCTGTGACGCCCACTTGTGTCGCACACATTGAAGACGAAGGCGGAGGGGAAGGATGCGACGGCGCTGCAGCGGACGACGATGACGGCGACTGCGCTGCAGCTGGCGCAGGCCTAGGCCCCAGTGATAAGGCAAGTGTTGTTGTTGATTTTTTTCTTCGTTTGTATTATAATTTTCTCTATTGTTGGCGTTGCCATTGTCTTGTTATTTTTGTATTAATTGGGATTTTCACTGCAGCTTAATGGCATCAGCATTGGCGCTGCCTACAGTCTGATTCAGCTGCCAGCGTTGAATTGCGATTTGGCAGCCGCAGCTGTGGCGGCTGCTGCTGCTGCTGCCTCCGCACTCTCGCCCACCGATGCGGCAATTGGCGGCCTCAGCTCCAGTCGCACCTCCATGAATAACTCCACGGAGAATCTGAGCTATGCCAGTGACAATTATTATGCCGACGATCTCATATTGCTCGATGACGATGACGAAGATGACGATGTGGAGGCCGAAGAGATATCGCTCAATTCGGATGACTGTGTCTATGCGTATCGCGGTGATGCCGCTGATTTCGATATGGCAGCGCTCGACGCCAGCACTGGACGTGGTGGACGTAATTTGGATTTTGGACTGGTGCGTGATGATGAAACGGACTTCCTTGAAATGGACTTTGAGCCAGATCCCTCGTCGGAGCTGGAGTTTGTGGCCAGTGCACAGGAGGCAGCAGCGGCAGCAGCAGGCCATGCGAATCTGCTGCTCATGCAACGCGATTACAGTCAGCTACAGAGCGGCCGGCACATGGCCACGCCCACTCAGCCAAGGCAACTCTATAGCTCGCCGATTGAAGAGTTGGCACTGCCAGCACCACAGGAAGCACTGCAGCGTTTGAGTAAGAAATTCGCACGCATTAGCCTGAACTTGGATCAGATTAAGAACGATGCTGACGCTGGCTCGGATGTGGATGCCGATGAGCTGCTCTGCGGCACCAAGGACGATGAGCAGGATTTTGTGGATGCGACCACAGCGGAAGTCAATGCACTGGCCCACTCGCTGCCCAGCACACTCGCCTACAGCAGCTTCAATCGCAGCACCAGCGTGCCCAGCGAACCGACTCATGCGGCCGAAGAGACCTGCAACTCGAAACTGACGGGCGCCAAGCCCAAGCGCCTGAGCACGCTCTCCAACTCCTCGTCCCTAGTGTCCGCCTCTAAGAGTAGCGCTTCCTCGTCAAAGTCGCGTCGTTCACAGCCCAGCTACGATGAACGCTGCTTCAGCTGCACCGATTTTCGTGCCGTGTCGCAGCAACAGCACCATCAGCATCAGCTCCAGTTGCAGCTGCAGCAACAGCAACAGCAGCAGGATGATGTGGCTCCCATGCTGGTGGCGGCGGCAGCTGTGGTCGCTGCCAGCGCTGCCATGGCCAACAGCAATTCGACTAAATTTGATTTGGGCAGCGGCGAGGAGACGTGCCTCGACTGTCTAGAGAAGGAGTTTCTGGCCAATACGATTGGCAAAGCGCTCGACCTGAGCAGCTGTGCCAAGTGTCGAAGACGTGTCGGTGGGCGTGGCAGCAGCCTCTCGCTCTACACACGGGCCGAACAGACGCGCTGTCGCAGCGGCTCGCCGGGCTATTTGGATGAGTTTGGCGGCCTCTTCAGCTGGCACCATACGGCCGGCGACATGGGTCTATACAACCAAAGGTTTATTTCGTGTGATAATAATTTTGGCGGCAGGCAGGTGAGTTAAATGGATTATCAAAATGATATCATATTTCAAGAGTTGGAAATCATGCTCCAAATTTCACTCTCTCTCTTTCCATGAACTCTCCAACTCTAGCAGCTGCTCAAGCAAAGCTTTTCGACTGAACCGCTGGTGGCGCGCCTGTCCACGGCGCATCTGAGTGAGGAGCATCTGGTGCAGGCGCTGGACAAACTTCACATTTCCTACAACGCATCTCTGTTGCATGCCTACTTCGAGCGGCAGGCAGCGTTCTCGCCGCCCGCTCGCGGCAATCTGAAGCAGCTGCTGTTGCATGTCTCCAAACAGCAATGCAATCATCGCAAGCTCAAAAAGCTGATCGAGCTCATTGTGCAGCAGCAGCCGCAGCAACAGCAGCTCAGCGTGCAATTCAAGCGGGTAAGTGTGTGTGAGGCATCCAAACTGTAGACTATATATGTATTTTAATGAAATGTTCGTGGCCACAGACTAACGCTGGCCATGCCCCTCTGGTGGCCGTTAAGGTGACGGACATATTGGCCGCCTGGCAACGTCATCGAGATCTCTTTGTGCTGCGGCAATTGGATGCACGCTTTCATCGGGCCAATGTGCTGGGTAGAGTGTGCCATAACAGAAACAATTGCATTTATGTACATTTAAATGAATTACTTTGCTTGCAGGCAAAATCGGACACATTGTGCGGCAAGCGCAGCAAGAACAACAGCCGGCAGCAACCACATCCGCATCGGCAGCGGCTTCAACTTCAATCTCATCCATGCGGCAAGCGCTGCCCGAGTTTCTAATGATACCACAATATTATGCTTGTGGTGAATTAACATTGACGCGCAAATGTTAAAGCCCGCCCAAAGCACACACATTCACACACACACACACCTACACACAGCTACATTAAATGTTTATGCGTGGTTGCATTTTATTCATTTCCTTTTTTCAAAATTGAGATTCTGTAAAGTTTATATTAGATCTGTGCCGGTTTGAAATATTGTTCATAATATTTAAGCAGGTGACATACAAATACATACATACAACTCAAATTTTAAATGTATTCACGCATGTTCAGTATTCGTTTAAGCTTTATCCACTATGTTTAAGCCCAACTTATTAACTCATTTAGTTGTTAAAATTACATTATGTTTTCCTATATATTTTATGCCTACTATATTTTGTTTCTCGAATTACTGCATCTAGTCTCGATACATAAAAAAAAACGAAATTCATATATAGAATTTAAGTTAATTTTAGTTAACATCCAAATGAAGTATGTCATCCGTTTGATTAGTTTAAGCCATGTTAGCTGTTTAGCTGCCGGCACAGATCTGTCTTTCATGTACTCAAATTGCATTTGTTAGCCAATGCTCCCTGTTGTCAATGTTTTATTGGCAGCCACGCATAAACGTTAGCAATATTTACAAAAATTGCAGCTGTTCAGGGGCGGGGCGAAAGTGGGCTGTCTGGTGAGTTGCTAGCAAAAAATCGAAATAATTAAGAACAAAAGTTAGACGCGTCTTTATGTATGTGTTATAACGTTAATCACAGTAATCGTTAATCAATTTGCAATATTTATATATAAAACAAAAAACAATACCATATAACTATATATGTTTATGTATATACATATGTGTGTGTGTACATGTCACGCCCACTAGCGTATATCATAATCTAAAGTATATATACATATATATTTATTTATATATATAACATAATAAATGTGTAGCGTATATATAGCTTAGCTTATATACAAATTACAAAATATACTGTAAGTAGTCAAGTAAAGCATACGCACATACATACATACAAACACACACACACACACAAAGTTTATACGCTGCACTGGACGTGATTTATAAATTGATTTTAATCGTATAAACATCGAATACCCACACAGCTAATTTTCTTTTTTTTTTTTAAATCTTAAATCTGTATCACGATTTAGTTGCGCACGTATAAACGTGACACACATACAGAATCAACGTTTGATTACAATTTATCACGTTTAGCTGCAATCGTGTAAACATCACACACACACCCATACTCATACACACACGCACACATATACTCATACGCACATATACCATTACAATTCATAATGTAGCAACAGCTCCCCAGACTCCACTTGGACCACCCCGTCCACAGTACCCCCCGCAAAAGTGAAGGTAATGCGAATAATGTTTTTTGTTTTAATAAAATTACGCTTTATTAATATTATTATATATCCACGTACTGTTGCTTCTGATTTTTCCTTTACTACAAAAAAAGTTGACCAAAGTTCATTGATAGCGTTGTTGTTGTTGTGGCTGACGGCCAGCATTGTAATAGCCAGGCGGACCACCACCGGGCGGTCCTGGTCCCATGTTGGGCGGCATCGGCGGTGGCGGCGCCGCCGTGCTGTAGTGCGTCGGCGGCGGCGGCTGCTGTGTCCAGGCATTGGCCGCATACGCCGGCATCGGCACCACAGGTGGTGGCGGCGGCGGTGGTGCGTGATACATGTGATAATTGGCAGCATTGCTGTTCAGATTGCTAGGTGGTGGTGGCAGTGGTGCGGCCACGCCCACAGCTGGCGTGGGCAGCGGCAGGCCGTCGCTAGATGGCGGCGGAATGGAGACGACGGCCACGGGCACCGCATTGGCCAGCGATTTGATGGTTTGTATATTGTTGAGTTCGCCCATCATTCCACCATTGCCGGCGGAGGGCGGGGCTGTTGCCGGCTGCAGTGGGCAGTTCGCATTTATTGCTCCGGCTGCTCCTGCCGATGATGCGGCGGCGGCGGTTGCACCTGTTGTTGTTGTTGGACTGTCGGCCCGACTGGGCGGCTTTTGTGGCGGGCTGTTGGGTTCCTGTCCCTCCTTCTGCGTCGACTGATACAGATCGAGCACCTGATGGCAAATGTCCTCCAGTATCTCCATCGTCACATTGGACACGAACATGTCCCACCAGCGCTGATGATGCGGCTGTCTGCCCAGCCAATCGAGCACCGTGAATTTGCTCAGTTTGCTGGCTAAATGGATGAGCGCTACGGCTATGATCTCCGGCTCCCACTGCAGGCAGACAACAGTGCTGAGCGAATCGTTGACGAAATTCCATGCCATTTGCACCATTTTCTGCAACTTCGGCTGATCGCCCTTGAAGCATTTGGCATACTTGAGCAGAAAGGTGTATGGATGCTCCACTTGCAGATCGAATTTAATTGTTTGCAGCAATATCCGCTCCAGCGTCATTACCTCCTCCTTGGGATCGTCGCCGAACGAATAGAAATAGTTGTCGTTGAGGATGCCGCGAGCGGTTTTGATGATGTCGCGACACTTCTTGGGCGTCTCCTCCACCTTGCCGGCGAGGAAGAGACAACAGCAGGCGGTGACATAGCGGGGAAAGCTCTTGAAGGAGTGGAACATGTAGAAGCGATGGAAGTAGACGACACCGGTGGCCATTGTATTGTGGCCGAGGCCCATTTTGGTGCCGCATTCCATGATGAAGCGTGCGCCCTCTTTGCGATAGCGACGCTCCGTCTCGTATGTAACGCCATCCAGAATTGAAGGTGTCTCGCGTAGTTCCTTTTTGTCATAGTACCAGCAAGGCATTTTTCTCCGGGCCTACAGTGTTTTTATTTATTTTTTATTTAGTTTTTGTGTTAATAACAAAAAACCAACAAAAAATTAGTGCTTTTTGTGTGTCATTTTTTAGCGTGATTACCCAAACAGTATTTTTTCTTTTGTGCAGCAGATGGCAACGCTGAACAAGCAACAGCTGTTTCCACAGTCAGTGTGGCCGTATCTATGTGTAGTTTAAGCGCGTTTTATGATGCTTTGGCCGTGCATTTAAAAAAGAAAATAGTCTAATATACATAATTCATTCCAGTTGTACACTTTTATTTTGATTTAAAAATAACAAACTATTCGCAAAAGAGCTGTAACGCAATTAGAGGGGAAGATTTGTATATTTGAGCTAACATTGATAAAGCATAAAATATTTACTATAATTACGTTTTTTTTCCAGGCCGTGCAAGTTGACTTTCCACAACTATGTTTTTTTTTTTTTGTATTTTCTTATTGCCACTACCGCCTGCCACAAATGGCCCGACGCATACCTGTTGTATGCGTCCATGGCCATCGTTTGGCCAATTAGCCGCAATGCCTTGGCTTAGTTGAGGTAACTATTTATAACCAGCCTTTCCAGTTGTCGTTAGCTTAATATGCTACGCTCATTGTGCAGACGTCAAATAATGCGGTCAATATGGTCGTCTAACAGGAATTTGGTTGCTATTGCTCCTTCCTCTTCCCCTATCCCTCCTGTTAGACTAGATTCGCCCACTTGCGTTTGCTTTCCAGTTTTTCGTCATTTATGCCACCCACTTTTATCGCGCTGGGCAGCACTGCTGCATTTTGCATAACAGCTGCATTGCAAAATGCCAAAAAAAAAAGTCAGAACTGGTTAAGGTATTGGGAACAAACAATAGCACGCCCTGGGGAGCCCAGACAACTCCAGCAGCCAGCAGCCAGCTTTATTACTAAATATTTATAGTCTGTCCATTCTAGCATTGCTTTCGTTCGTCTCACATTTCATAAACAATTTGTATGCACAGTTGCAGTTGCGTCTGCATTTTTTTGTCGCTGCTGTTGCCGCTGCCGCTGCTGCTGCTGTCTGTCGATGTTATTAACCTTGCTGGGGAAGCTTGAGGAGCCTGTTGGTTCCTTGGTAGGCTGCCAGACAGGTCCAAGTTAATCAAATAGAATTGTGCCGGTCCGAGCAGCATAACCAGTTTACTTTATATTCTTTAGCTTTTACTTTGTGAGTACGATCGTGCGCGCTCTCTCTCTCTCTCTCTCTCGGCCAGTTTGCGCGCTCGCTAGTGCGCGCTCTCTCTCGTTCTCTCTCCCTACCTGCTTACCTTTTGAGCCGTTTAAGACACGTTTGCAGCTTCGCTGCGCTTGCTGCTGCTCGGGCGCTTTTCAGTCACTTCTGAAACGTCGTCAGCAACGCCAGTTACCAAGCGGATCGCGCTAGCTGGCAACAACAACAACAACAACAGCAGCAGCAGCAACGACAACAACAATCCGTCCAGTACATTTTATATTTGTTTTTATATACATATAATGCGCGTTCGTTGCGGACAACGGCTTCGCAAAAAAAGTAATAAATAATAATAAAAATAATAGAAGTGGCTGCAAGTGTTCAACAAGAAGAAGTGCTTGCCTAGGCATTAAAAAGGTTTTTTTTCAATAATACACAATAGCCATAAAGCAAGATTCAAATGAAAGAAAAGAAAATGTGCTATAAAAGAAGTTAAAAAAAAAGCTAAAAAGTAACCACAAGCTACGTATCGTGCGCGCACTCTCCCCCTCTCTGTCACACACACACATACTCTCTGTTCATCGTTTAGTCCATCTCGCTCGTTCCATAAGCGCACTCCTACTTCCCCCTAAGCTTCGCTCTACTGCATGCATTCCTTGGAATCATTCTATGTGGATTATCGCTACGAGTCAACGAAAGAAGAAGAACAAAACACATAACGTTTGCGTTATTTGGAATATTTTTTACGTTATACCTCAGTCTATAACGCTAAATAAGTGAGTTCAGATTTGCGTATTATTTACGTTTAAGTAAAGTAAATTTATTTTTATTACCATTTAGGCTTTTCTTAGGCTTATATTTCTTAGCAAATAACAAATATACTACAATCTACATATCTAAGACTATTTATTTCCCCCCAAATAGATTTATAATATTTATGATGCTTAAAGACATGTATTAGCCTAGCACTGTTGACTAGAACGCTCTTAATTGTTCTTCATAATATTTGTTCCAAACTCAGCTATTAGAAACTTTAGTACAACTGACTAAAGTTTATAAAACATCGTTAAACCCTATATACAGATATTGCGAGTATATCCACTATATATTTAAGTATTACACAAATCTGTATACGCACTTGTTTTCGACTTTGATAAACCTTTTTCTCGATTAGAAAAATAATTGCAAAGACTTACATATTTGCACAACTGTTGTATACATATGTATATATTTTTTTATGATTTTTAGTATAGCAATTATAAAGCAGATGATTCAGTTCTGTAGTACGCTTTCGATCCGGGGAATTAGCAGGCCCACACCAAACGCTTGCATTGGAAATTAGCGCTGTTGCAGCTTGCCTTTATTTTTTTTGTGATTTATCATCCACGCTCACATTTCACTATAAAAGTCGTTTGTTGTTGTCTGTTGTTGTTGTTGTCGCTCAATTGAGTGTTAAGTGTTTGGCGATTAGATCATCTGTGGGGTGCGTCAAGCCGCTTAGCCAAGTTAATGAGCATTTTGGCCGTCTCGACGGCAGACAAGGCCATTGGAGCCTGCAAGAGAGCCGCAAGTTGATTGAACCTGCCACACACCATCCAGCCATGTTTTCTTTCTCTTTCTCTCTCTCTCTCTCTCTCTCTTCTCTCCCACTAAAAGGGTATATACGATTGCATTTTGACTACACCGCATGCCGTAATTATAGACACTGTTCTCTATTTCATCTTTTTAATGATTTCCTTTGTTATGCGTTTAGCTTTAGGCAAGCATTTAAGTTCTTAACTGAGCTGAAAAAAAAAAACTATTTTGTGATTCATTTATCTTAGTGGGGGAAAAAAATACTCTGCTCATATGACAAATCTCTGGTAATACTTATGAGAAATTAGTCATAAGTTAAGGTAAATTATAGGCAAGGTCGTTTAAACTGAGAGCTTAAGTATAATTAGTGAATATTTGTTGGGTTAGCTTGCATTTGCTGGAGAGTTATAGGAAAATATATAT